TGTCAGCCTTCCAGTTTCAGTTATCATTATTTCATTCACAGCTTTTGAATAATAACACTTGTCACTTTCCAGACTGCTATAAAATAGTTCAGAAAAATTCAGAAAATTTACAAACCCTTTTGAAGCCATCATATGAAGACAATGGCTCAAACTAATCAACATATGCAGCAGTGATGAACTCAAGTCTAAATTCAAATAAAGCATTTGCTTAATTTATAAGTGTCTTCCTAAAGATGTATATGTGAATCTGTAGGAAAAGGTAGTTGCTTGTGGAAGCTTGTTTGGAAATACATTTGTAAACAAACTTCCTCAGTGATGAAGCTAAATGAATCTATACTAGAACTGATTTAGAGATGAAAATCTCGTATTAGTCCTTTTGACTAACTGTATTAGGCATTATGTCTGACTTCATACTCTTGAAATCTGCCGTTCAGGCTTAGTGATCTTATTAGAAAGTTGTTTTACTTACATTGTTGATCGTCTAATAGGAGTTTTATTATTCTTCATATAATCTTCATTGTGTAGCTCACAGGAAAAGGGCAGTTTGATAATTTCGTCCTTTGAAAACAAAGGGTTCTATATCACTAATACTAGTTCTAATACTGCTACCATTGCTGTTGGTGCTAGTGCTTCAGATTTTGTAAGGTTTCTCGTCAACTGTTACAGATATAACATCACCAGAGATTGTGGATTGCATGCTTCGATTCTCAAGAAGTCGAAATACTCGCCTCAAAAATTTGGCAACAATTTTCCTGGAAGATTATTGCACGCCTGATCAAGTGGCAGAAGTAACAAAGGCCGAATCACAGTCACTGACTGTTGAAAATATCCCACTGCCGCAAAATTGACTGTTGGTGTGAAATGAAAACTTCAGTTTATTCTATATAAAAACACTATTTCAAAGCTGAAGTGTGACGGGGTGTGGATTATGACATAATTTTTGCTTTTTTAGAATAATAAATTTTAATGTGTTTATGACAATCCTTGAAATATGATTATTGCATCCATTTATTCTACATTCTGCAGTGTATTTCTGAACATATGCTTCTGCAGCACATTGCTGTCATATGTATTTAATTTACAATACTTCTTGAATTATGAAAGCTGAATTTTTCGTCTATTGATGGTATGTTTATTCTTTGCTGTACTACATAATGACTCTGTACTCTCTGGGATCAGCTGTCCAGTTGACAGTTATAAAGCCATTGTGTTACCAGTTACTGAAGTTCTGTAACCAGAAATATTGTGGGAATTATGTCATTAATTTTCAGTGTGTTAAAGCATATATCAAATATTACTCTACCACAGCTAGACCCATTTTCTGGAATGTGAATTCAGAAATTGATAAAACTGTTACAAAGATTTCCTACCCGAAGAGAAGGGTTAATACAAGGGAGGACCAGAAGAAAGTTACCCTGAAAGCAGGAGATAGAGTTAGTGAGATAAGATGTGTGTCACAAGATGATGTGGATAACTTTTCAAAACTGACTGGTGATCACAATCCAGTACACAAAATGCAGACTGAAATGTCGAGTAGTCCAGCCATCGTTCATGGTGCGTTACTTAACGGGCTTGTTTCTGGCGTGATTGGAACCAAGTTGCCTGGTCCAGGTACCATGGTTGTTTCACAGACGCTACAGTTCCCAAATCCATGTTATGCAGGTGAGCAAGTGACATTAACTGTTGAGATTAGTTCAGTAAGAAGAATAATTACTTGCAGATTTGAGTGCACTGTTAATAGGCAGAAGAAAGTGACTGTTGTTCTGCATGGAGAGGCAAAATTGATTCCAATGAAAAATTTCTCAGATCAGACATAGTTATAATATACTGACTGGATACATTTTCAGTCCAGGTACTTGTGGGTTATCGGGACACATCACTTTAAAAATAGGTTAGGTTAGGTTAGGTCAGTTGTCATTTATTGAAATAAAATGTAATAACTTTCAAGTATATGTCATTTATCCACACACATTACCTAACCTAACCCTACTACTACTACTACTTCTACTTCAACTTTAACTTAATTTTAAGGAGAGGAAGTTTCAACAAGGACTTGTGCGATTTTATAGAAAGGAGATGTCTCACCAACTGTAACTTCATATGGATTTCAGATTCATGTGTGCTGAGGAAAAGTTATGTCTGAAAAGTGATTCTTAGATTTGTTCTCAAGATTTTGGTTTGTTTTTAAATATGATGTTACTTCTGTTGCTTGTATAGGTGAATTAGAGTGTGAATATAAACTGCAGTGTTTAACCTGCATGTTCTGCAAAATAAGCATGTAGCTTGTGCAGTTGTTAATATAACATCTGCAAGGCCTGACCATAAAGTACATATTAAGATTGATTCTTTATATCCGATAATTAGTACAGTGTAGGACTTGCTTCTGCAGTGAACATGTCCTGACATGTTACCACATATCCAGGCATGTTTACGGTTCAGTCCATTATTTGAGTAATTTATGATGACATTGACCATCACTGTGTTTTGGTATGTTTTGACTTAATGGTGTCTGATAAAATTTTGCCACAATAGAAAGATGGTGACCAAAGCTGTACATGTGAGTGGTGTTTGGCAGTGCAACAGTAAGCCAAGCATGAAGTCTGGAGAGGTTCCATCATTTTTTTACAGTTTTTCTGTCAAAAGTGACAATCATCTTGGATGCCTATTAATCAGCAGAAAAAGTGTGTCATTAGTGTAGAATTGTGGCTTTCATGTGAGAGCCGCATTGAATGTTTGTTGTTAACCAATGTTTCAACAAACATAGCAGTTGTCATCTTCAATATGAATGTAAAAAATATTACAGCAGGTAATGAAACATGGTTATGGCCCTGAAAGTAGTACAAATTGTCACAATTGTCTTGCTTCTTGCCGTGATAGAAGAAATGTAGCTCACTGTACAGCAAGACCAAAATGATAACAAATGGTTGCAAAAGAGAGAATCAGGCAAGTGATAAATCTACTATGACAATGCGCCTGCTTACTCATCCAAAGTTGTGTGGAAGTTTTTGCCTAAACCAGTACTCTAGAAGCGAAGCTGTCTGTCTGTTCACTAAATATCATTTCATGTGACTTTTTCCTGTTCCATAATTAAGAAAAAATACTTTAAAAATAAAAATACACAATGGTATGTCACAAGTAAAGTTAATTGAAGGAAGTTATGATGGGTTGGACATGTTCTGTAACTATGGTAAGAGAAATAGAGAACATGCACAATTTTGGTGGGAAATCTTGTAGAATTTGATCAGTCAGAATATCCAAATGGAGGTGAAGGATATGTTAAAACTTACCATATGATAAGAGTTTATGTGGGACAGGATTGGATTCACCAGTAAGAGTTTATTTTAATGATGTTGAGTCTTCAGGTTCTTATACCAGAGAGTTTAATTTATTATATTTACAAGTAATTAATGTCAGAAGTACAGCATGATATTACAGAAGTTCATACTAAAATTGTAAGATACCAAATAATTATGTGTCCCTACCAATGAATAAGAAAGAGAGGAGTTTAGGACAGAATTGGGCATTTGTATGGCTTGCCATCCTTGCAGCAGTATTCCCTTCCGGCTGACAGGTTTGTGTTAATCCAAGTATCATTGCAGTTCTTGATAAACAGGTAAGCCTGTAAAAGAACGTGTTATAATGTTAACAGTGTCAGTATTTTTCCTTAACTGTTTTTACTGAAAACTGGTAGTGTTTTCTTCTTGGTGTTTAATTACTATATTTTTCTACCTTTCCATCTGTTGTACAGTACATATCTGCACACATTACTATAGCAATAGGGGCTGAAGGGACAAAATGTGAGGTAAAATAAAAAGACAACGTAGCTTACTATTGTTGATAAAATTATGCCCAAAATTTAAGAGGATAGTTTTTTAATGGATCACTATGAATCTGAAAACCTTAAACACATTTAAATAGTGTTCTCAGCTCAAATCCCTCCTGATATGTATTTCAATGTTTATATACAGATCCCGATGCCTTTGTTTGTTTGTTAAGATATTTTGGTGCAATGATAGTGACTGATGACTGTCTGTAACTTGAAATGTGTGATTCTAAAACATAGCTTCTTAGTCATTGCATTTTGTGTATAGCAATTAAGTAATTAAAGCCATTAAATGCAAAACATGATAATCAATATCAAAGCAATTATAATAATGTATTTATTACTCAACATTTTTAAACTTTTTGGGTCATTCTCAGGGATATAATATTTTCATTACCTTAAGAAAACTGTCGATTATAAGAAGATGGCTGTCTTCTGTGTTGTTGCGCAGATGACAGCCATCTTCGGACTCACCACCATGAAAACCTCAATCCTATTGATTATAATGTACATGAATATTATCTAACAGTTGAATTATTAAAAGTTACGAATATTAAAATACCAGTATGTACCTATCAGTGATAAAATAACTTGAAATGAAATTTCCTGTGTTGAAGTATAGAAATAAAATATGGAGAGATAAAATTGAAAGAATAATCTTTTTAGCTGATTGGTGTTTCTGTTTATTTGGTGTAATAAATGACAATTTACTTCATTGACCAGTGCATCTGAATATGACCCGAGTTAAGGTGTAAGTACGAGTGTTGGGTCACCAGATGATGAATATTCTGTTCTCTGTGAAGTGTTACGGTTGAGCACTACCGCATCATATTCTGGAAGTCTGGGGTTAGATGCTTGGTTAAGAAGCTAGCAATATTAGCAGATTTCTCATGGTTTCATTCAGTTCCTCCAGATAAATTCCAGGATAATCCTTTAAAATAGGTGGTGACCAGTCCCTTTGCATGTGAGAATACTTTTCTTGTGTATTATTATACAAATGTAAGTGTACTTCTGTGACCAACATGTACAGTATTCTTTGAGACCCATTTTGTTTTATCAATAATATAACTTTTTACTTACTCGCTCCTTATGGCAGTCTCTGTCAATAGAACCACACAGAATTGCTGCACTGTTTGGTAGATGTTTCACAATCTGGAAAGGAAAGTAACGGCTTTCTGTTCATGACTGACTTGTGTACATGCTACTAATTTATAAGGGAGAACATTGTGTGTGTGTTTTGGCATTTTATGAAATATCGCTTGCTTTATTATGATAAATTTTTCATATTTTGGACAGTGGTGGTGTTTCATATTTATTAGGTCCTGGATTCAATTCCCAGTCTATGAGTTTGGTTATTCCAACTGAAGTTTTTGTCATTTTTGAAAGGTTTCTGATAATTATCATTCGTTACCATCATATCGAGAAAATGTTACGCGTAGTTAGAAACTATCTAAAACTGTGACACTTGAAAGAACTTGCAGTAGTGTGTTAGTGCATTATACTCACAAGGTCCAAGCACTTATTAGTGCACTGCTTGTTGCCGAACGGGTTACAAGGAAGAGGGTCGGAGTTCTCGTGGAGAAGTGCGGCATTTCCTCTTGGTGGATCTCGGCTGCCCTTTACGAACTGTCCAGTCAGAAATACTCCACACACGCAAGGGAATGATTCAGTCGGTGGCAGATTATCTCCAAGCTTTGGAGGAATAAGTGGGCCAAAGTCCAATGCATTTGAGTGTTCATCACTCACACTGAAATAAAGAAGAATATATAGTTTACACAGTGCTCTGTAGCAGTGATACAGCTGAGATATGATACAGAACAGTGATTTTAGTGGATATAAGAAACTTGAAAGACTATACCTGTAACTTACACACACCGCAGCAACTAAAATAACGACATGTCCGAAAGACCTCATCTCGCTGCTGCCCTGGTGAAGTGTGAACTGAGAGACAGTCTGCAGACAGCCAGGACAATACACAGTCAAGAATTGCAAATTCAACACAATTTAGCTTTCAAAAGAATGCAGTAATTCTTCCGCGTTCTTTCGTACGAGCAGAAACTTTTTCTGCTGAGAGATCATCTTTTGATTATGCTGACTGTAGATTCTAGCCACAATATGACCCTTATTTCGTCAATTTAACGATCCGCATTTTATGAAGGCGAGAAAAACTAACCGTGTGGCACGTTTCCCAACCTAAAGGCCTTCGTGGAATGTAGAAAATTACATATTTCATAATTTAAACTTTCCGTTTAAATTATTAAATCGATCGGTATGTGGATTCCTTGTAAGCGATAGGATATTTCATCTCAACAAGGAGATCGCTACTTTTTGCCTGCGGCGGACAATCGGGAGAAGCTTAAAACTAAAAGCAGGAACGGTATTAATACCCAAAAATACTAAATGGGGGGGGGGGGGG